AAGAACACCACGAACATGAGCGAGAACTGGAAGGGGTGTTGGGCCATCTTGGGGATCTGTCGAGGCCATCGTGAGCCCCTGTAATCCCATTAAACGATCCTAGAACATGATACTAACAACAATGTGTGTTCAAAGATGTTGGCCTCCTGGGGCCCGTCCCGAGACCTCTTGCATGCGTCTTGGGCGCGCCCAGAGATCATCGTTAGCGCTGCTCGAGGCTTTTCGAGAGCCATCTTCGGGGCCCGGCAGCGGGTTGGTATACCAGGGGGTTGTCCGGGGGGCAGCACTCCGTTATCGCACCCACATTTGCTGATATACATATATATATATATATATGTGTACATATATGTATGTATAACAGATGGGCAATACACATATATGCATATGTTAGCGAGCCTGTCCCCAAATAATGATATCCTGCAATCTGCGTGGTGCATTTCCAAATGGAGCAGTCAACGTGGTGCAGTACAAGCTAGGTGGTGTAATCCACTTGGCACAATCGATGTGGCGCAAAGAATGAAACACCAATATAGAGCAACGCAAAGCAATGCAAAGCAATGAAAAGCAATGCATAGCAATGCAAAGGAAAACAACGCACAGCAATGAAAAGCATTGCCACGCAATGCAACGTAATGCAACGCACTGCAAGTCAATACCAAGCAATGCGAACAAAACAAAGCAGCGCAAACCATGCAAAGAACTGCAACGCAATGCAAAGGAATGCCAGGTAATGCACAGCAATGCCAAGCAATGCAACACAAAGCAAAGCAATGCACATCAATGCCAAGTAAGGCATATCAAGTCGACGCAGTGCAGAGAGCTGCAAAGCACAACAAGGCCATGCAAAACATAGCAATGCGAAGCGAATGTCGACAACGGAAAGCTGTGCAAAGCTGTGCAAAGCAAAGCAAATTGGCGGAGCGCACAAGGGGGTGGGGGGAGGGGGGAGGGCTTCTTAGAAGCAGGCTGCTTCTCAGAAGGCGCCGGCCTCACATCCATAGAGAAGGCCCGCGCCTTCTAAGAAGCAGGGGTGTTTCTAAGAAGCCCTCCCCCCTCCCCCTCTGCGCGTGGCTGAGCAACGCAACGCAATGCAGAGCACCTCCGTGCGAGCGCAGTTACGAGACCGATGTTGCATCACAGCAGCAATTCGGCCCCTGACTTTCGTCCTGGGTTCGATTTGGTGAAGTGATGAATTTCGGGGTCCTTACGTGGAAAAAAACATCACTTCACTAATCTGGGGCCCCTGGGGCCTCAGTGGGCCCTGGGGCCCAAAATTAGTGAAGTGATGGTTTTCGGGCCTCGGAGCGGTGCCGTGCGACGCGGCCGCGGCGCAGCGCACTGCGGCTGCCACGCAGTGCGCCTGCCGTGCAGCGGCGGGAGGAGGAGGAGGAGGAGGAGGAGGAGGAGGAAGAGGAGAGGAGGAGAGGAGAGGAGGAGAGAGGAGGAGGGAGAAGGAGGGAGAGGAGGGAGGGAGGAGGAGGAGGAGGAGGAGGGGGGGGGGGGCAAGCGGAGCCGCGGCGGCGGGCGGGAGCGGGCCGCCGGGCCCGCGGGCGGGCCCAGCTCCCCTGAGGGGAAGTAAGACCCCCCAAAGTGCAAGCACGGCTTGGGGAAGATTGCATATATATATATATATATATATATATATATATGTATATATATATATATAGATGTGTGTGTATGCACACATGTACATACACACATATATATATATGCTCGCCCCCCCCCCAGCACCCCCAAACGACGGACTTGGGAGGGGCGCGAGCATATACATATATATAAACATATATACATATATACATATATACATGTATACATATATACATATATATACATCTATATACATATATATAGATTTACATAAATATATGTGTATATATGCATATATGTATGTATGTATGTATGTATGTATGTATGCATGTATGTATGTATGTATGTATGTAAGTATGTATATATGTATGTATGTATGTATGTATGTATGTATGTATGTATGTATGTACACACATCTGCAGGTATACATGTGTACACATGTGTATAATCATATACATATATGTGCGGTGTCTGTTGCAGCATCTGCGTCGACCCAAAGCAGGGTTAGCACATGGCTGCATCATCTAATTGCGCTCCAGCCAGCGGTTCGGGCAACTGTAACACCCTGCCTTGGCGACCAAAAGCTGGTCACCGAGATACTCTAGCACCGACCCCGTTTGATCAGCGTCTGCTGCGCCGGCAGCGGGGCACAACGGCCTCGAGCCTCACCAGCTTCTGCCGTCTCGAGAATAGATCATAAAGTGCACAAGACGGTGGCGATGACGAACAGCGTCTAGATTTAGGTCGGGCGTGTCCCCCTGCAGGGGGACTTTGGACGACCGCTGAAAAATTGACAAACAAAGACTACAGCACTTCTCATAAATACGCCCCCCCCAAAAAAAACGTCCCCAGACTATGTTTCAACTATTTTTGAATGCTCCTCCTGTAGAGGGACACGCCCGACCGAAGTCTAGATGAACGAATGAAACTGCCAGGCGCCTGCACGGCAGGAGCACCTGGAGGTCACGCAACGGCTTTTCTCCTGGGCGCAAGAGAGGACCTGGCCGGAGGGCGTCAGAAGATGCCTACCACCAGGGAACCCTTCTCCTCCTTCTTATCGTTATCCTCGATCCTCCTCCTCCTCCTCCTCCTCCTCCTCCTCCTCCTCCTCCTTCCCCCCTCGCCCCACCGCCCCTTGCCGTCGCCGATGCCGCTGCCGCCGCCGCCGCCGACGCCAAGCGACTCATCATGACGTCGACCTGGACAGCTTCCCGACGGCGGACATGTGCGGACACGGCCGACTAACTCATGACCGAACTCCAGAAATCACGGCTCGGGAAAGCATCAATCGAAGACGCTGAATGCGAGATGTCGCTGCGCTCCCAGAAGGTAAGGCGGAGACGTGGCGAGGTGGCCGGAAACCTCTTCGCTCGCGAGGGCCATGCCTTCGGCGTGATGATTGTTCAAGAGTCGGCGCAGGGACAAACCACGATTTCGGCCAGTCTGGAGACACTGGCACGCTGGACGAGTAGGCTGGCAGGAGAGAAAATCCCCGACATCAGCCGAGAGAAGATCGCCGTAGCCAGCACAGCCTCTTCTGGCAGGGATCGTCAGGCCAAAGGTGTGATAAAGCTATTGCCGACGAGAACCAGCCAGAGGCAGACAACTTGGACGAATTGCGAGGTGCCATGGAAAAGGCCACAAGGTCGTCATGGCAGCCAGCTAATTGATGTTGGACGCGAGGACCGTCATCGACCAAGAGATAAGCACGATGAACCCGAACATCGGCAACGAACTGGACGACCTCTCTGTCACACGGCCGCTGACGGACCAGTAGGACGAGGCAGCCATTCAAACCAATGATCGACACAAGGTTAGACTTGTGGATGCCACGACAATGGACACCCTAACAGTCCTATCATTGAATTTACAGTGTGTTTAAAATGTCGGAAACATGTTCTAAACATGTTTAAAACAGGTTTTTACATATTCAACAACATGTTTAACACATGTTTTAGACATCTAGAAATTATTTGGCAGCACGCTTTCTCCCCATTAATCGAATTCCACAAGGCTCGACCAACTACATCAACGACGACGAGCAAGACTACCCCGAGCTCGGGAGGGCGGACCACACGAGCCACGATCCGAACGAGCTGGAGGCTACCACGAGTGAGGTGGAGACGACGGCCGCCGACGAGATAGTGGAGCTCGAAGCGGCTCGAGCATCACGGGGCGACTGCGATGGCATCTCAGACCTCGACGTCCCAATGGCAAAGCAGGACGGGCAAGTCTCGGAAAAACCAGGGGCCAGAAACGCCAGCCGCGATAAGCAGCGGGCCGCCGCGCTTCGGAAAGGGGCCTGGAAAGCAGAACAAGCAACACAATGTACTGGGACCACACTTCGTGGGCTTGGTGGGCCCAGGAAAAGGCAGAGCCGTCTTTCTGCCGTTTCCGAAACTATGGCTCTTCAGAATCAAAGCGCTAAATAGACAGACACACACACACAACTCACCGCAACAAAAAACAGCTGCGTCGGAATAGGAACCATAACTGGAACCAGAACTGGAAAACAAGTGGCGACGGAGCCAACAAACAGGATCAGAGAAGCATAACGGAGGACAACAACTGCCCTGTTATTTCCAAGGCCCACTAAGTTCGCGGGTACAGCAAACGAGTGGACCATTGCCCAGCCTTTTCTATTCCGACCTGATCGTAATCACCGAGGAACCAGTACCACCGCCAGTCGAGGTCGCCGTCCTCAATTTCTGCTCCCGTTTCGAAGAACTCCAGAAGGCATGTCACGGGTAGTCAAGGATGGCGAGAAGAAAATGGATTCAGGAGCTCGGAGAGCAACGGAGTCGGGAATGCCGCCGAGAAACTCGTGAGTGCCGTCGTGAGGGCGAACCCGGCTGCGCACATCACGATTAACAAGACGGACAAGCAGCAATTCTTTCCGAGTAGGGCCGCGCGCACGCTTCACGCGCGCTTAGGTTCTACCGCAAGGGCGCTCTCACGACAGTGTGAATTCAAAACAAAATGATTCGGGAGTGTGATTCTATCCTACGCTGGCTGTACGTGATCTCTGGACCAGCTCGTTCCATATCTTGCCTTACCGCGTACTCATGCATTTCTTCTCCTTCTCTCTCTCTCTCTCTTTCTGTCCTGCTCGCTTTAAAATGCTGTGGATTATTTCGCTTGCTCTCGCGCTCCGTTCATCGCTCCTCTCGCCTGCCTCATCCTGCTGACGGCATCCATCCTCCCTGCTCGTTCCATGGTTTTCCGCTGTGATATTCTCGCCTCAGTTCTTGCTTCCCGCCCACCTCATTTTCCTGACTCTCCCTTTGAGCTCTCCCTCCTTCCTCTCCTTCTCACCCTCGCGCCTCATCCTTCGTTACCACTCTTATCTTTATCTCTGGCTGCTGCTCCACCCCGCCCTTCATCCTCAAACTCTTCGCCCTCGCCCTCAGGATTCAGCAGACGAGAATGGCCATCCATGGGCGCGTGGAAACAGAACCCGGCAGACCAAACACGGCCTTCTGGCCGAAATGCTGGCAGCCTTCTTGGACACAGGCGTGAAACGTTGGTCCAAGCTGGCGAAAATTCGGGGGCTCCACGCTCGCTGGGCTCCCCGTGAAGAGAGCGGCCCACCGGAGTGTAACAAACGAGCACCGGCACTGTGCCCGCAGGGCTCGCACATCACCGCGGGATGTGATAGCCTGGGGACGCCCGAGGCATTGGAGAGCAGCAGAAGCCTGCGGGGACGACTCATCGTCGATCGAGGCGGCGTCCAACCGTCCTCGCGCCCGTCCTCGCGAGGCGGCCTCCGCGGTGCTCTCGTCGATCGCCGATGGAGACCAGCAGTGCCATCCCTGCAGGGAGAGAACCCGTGCCAGAACGGCGGAGCCGCGCTCCCTGCGAGGCCCATCGGGCGTGCGAGCGCAACGACTGACAGCTGCTGCGCACGGAGCGCCGCCGCGTGCCCCAAGGGCGGCCTGGAAAACATGCCCGGCCGGGCCACGGCCAGAGCCACCGTCCGCGAGGCGTGCTGCGTGAAGGCCACAGGCAGGTCGCGCAGTGAGGATGCGTGGCAGGGGCGCGAGGGCCCCGGAGGGCCGTGTTGGCGCGTCCGAGCCCAGGGAGGGGCCGAGGGGGGCGGGGGTGCAGGGGGCAGCCTCGGGAAGCGGCCCATCCTCACTCTGCGACTCGACTGCGCATCCGACGGCCGCAGATTCAGCTGCGGAGCCCGGCGCCCGAGGAAGCCTCTCCCATCTCGGCGGTGGACGAACCTCCCTTTGGTAACCTCCCTCTAGCGAAAACGGCCTGGGACCGAAACCGACGGATCTGGACCCGCAAAAATGACGGCCGCGACGCCCTCTCGCGAACCGAAAGCGGCCAATTCCTTAATCGACGTGTCAGGGCAGGAGGTCTGCCCACCCCCGACCATCCCTCCCCGGGAGGCTCGCAGGCACGCTTCTGAACGAGGGCGCCGGGCCTTGCCAAGCGCCGTGCGGTCACCGCGGACGCACGGATGCCAGCGGTGCGGGGGGCCGCACGCGCCACCGAATGTACGGGTCGGCACACGGACGAAAGCACCTCAGAAGAGGAAGAAGAGGGATCAGAAGAAGAAGAAGACGAAACAGAGAAGAAGAAGAAGAAGAAGAAGAGGAAGAAGAAGAAGAAGAAGACGAAACAGAGGAGAGGGATCAGAAGAAGATCAGAAGAAGAAGAAAAAGGAGAAGAAGAAGAAGACGAAACGGAGAAGAAGCAGAGAAGCTGGCACGAACACAATGTTTCAGAGCTCCACGCGGGTGTCTCGGATCGGCTCGGGGCCCCTCCCTGGCGGCGCCTCCGGCGCCGCCCTGGCACGCTCCGCCCGCCAGGGGGGGAGCCCCGCGCCGAGACCCAGGAGGTCCGCGCGGGGCTCTCCGAAAGCTCACGGCGAGGGCACCGGATGAGGAACCGCTGGACAGGGAAGCGAGGGCCCGGAGGCCGGTGGAACTCCAACCGAGACTTGGCCATGGATATGGCCGCCGCCCATCCTCCAAGGTCTGAGGCCTGCTGGGCGCATTCCTTGAGGAACGCCCCCCACCTTGCGTGCGTCCATGCCGCTGCCTGCCTCCCCAGGCGTGCGACGCGCCGACTTCTGCAGGACGGGGCCCCTGGAAGCCTCGGCCCGTTCCCCAGGACTGGTTTCTCACCCCGAGCCGCTTTTTGACGGTCCCGAGGCCCGGCGAGGGCCCCCCCCCCTGAGGCCGCAAACGGCCGAAAACTGGCCGTCCTGACTCTTTCACGACGCGATCCTGTCTGGGTACCCTCCTCCTCCTCCTCCTCCTCCTCCTCCTCCTCCTCCTCCTCCTCCTCCTCCTCCTCCTCCTCCTCCTCCCTCCTCTGGCAGGAAGCGCGAGGACGAGGCGCCGGGCTCGGAGAGAGGCCTCCGGCGTCTGCAGAGCGCACCGCGCCAGGGCGCCCCTCCCGGGGCGCGGGGGCGGAGCCCCTCGCGGCCGCCCGGCGGGCGCGCGGGGCGCGGTGGGCGGTGCGCCCTGCACGGCGCGTAGGGGGCTTATAAACGGAGCGTCTGCGGCAGTCGGGGCTCTCGCGGCGGACGGCCCTGCGCTGCAGCCGTGGCGCTGCCACGGGGGGCTCCGGAGGCAGGAGCGGGGGGGGGGAGGGCCCTGCAGGGCTCGGCGGGCCTCTGGGCCGCGATGCGAGGGGCTCCCCGACGTGGGCATGCGAGGGGCGGCACGAGAACCAGAGCCCCTCCTCCTGCCCCTCCTCCTCCTTCTCCTCCTCCGCCTCCTCCTCCTCCGCCTCCTCCTTCTCTTCCTCGTCCTTCTCCCCATCCTCGTCGTCCTCCTCCTCCTCCTCCTCCTCCTCCTCCTCCTCCTCCGCCTCCGCCTCCTCCTTCTCCTCCTCGCCCTCCTCCCCATCCTCGTCGTCGTCCTCCTCCTCCTCCTGCTCCTCCTTCTCCTCCGCCTCCTCCTTCCTCCGCCTCCTCCTCCGCCTCCTTCCTCGTTCTTCCTTCTTCCTCCTCCTCTCCTCCTCCTCCTCCTCCTCCTCCTCGCCTCCTCCCTCCCACCCCCTCCTCCTCCGCCTCCTTCCTCCTTCCTCCTCCCTCCCTCCTCCTCCCCCTCCTCCTCCGCCTCCTCGCAGGCGGCCGTAGCCGCGCCTCCGAGGCGCGGCGGCGCCTCGCCCACTCGCCCGCCCGCGCGCCCGCGCGAGCTGCGGCGGCCCAGCGGGCACACGTCCTAAGGGACGCACAGAGACCTACTAGTACTATCGATTGTGCCTGCGATTTTTCTCCCCCTCCCGAGGACCGTTGAGCGCACACCGCTGGCCCCCACCAGGAGATCCCACGACATGGTGGCCTCGCTGCTGCTACCGCCCCCGCACAAGAGCAGGCTCCGCAGCACGCCTCCCTCCTCCTCCTGTGGGGGGAGGCACAGAGACGTACTAATACTCTATGTCCTCCTTGGAGGCGCGCGTCCGACCCGAACATCTAGTATACCCACCTTGAAGTAGATCGTTTCTCGAGCGGTGTGGCCAGAAAGCGCCCGCCACGACGCGTACACTGTAAGATTTCTCGGTGCGCGCGTCGCCCCAGGGGGGGCGACGCACATGTAGTATAAGTATGTTGGGGTGACGCCAAGAGCAGGCACATGTCCTACATTGGCGATTTCGGGGACCCTGAACCCCAAACGGTTTTCATCTCTTGGGGGCACATCTTTCCCTTCCTTGTTGCAAGCCGCCGCGCCCAAGCACTCTCAGTTGGACGCTTCGTGTGAAACCTACCGAAATCGGCGCGCGATATGTTTTTTCACATCGTGGGGTGGACCCCAGACGGGGGACGCGCAAGGAGACAGCCGGCGGACCTCCACCACCTTCCGCCGAGCTTCCGCCGGCGGAGGCGGCCTCGCTCTGCTTCCGCCGGCCTTCCGCCGCGGAGAAGGTGACAACTCCTTCTATCCTCGAAGGCAAAGCCCTCTCTGGAACGCCCCAGAGGATGGCTGTCATGCGTGGGAGAGCGGAAACTGGATCCAGAAGACGACCAGAGACGAGCAGCCTGTGGCGGCGACGTGGCGCGATCCTCGACGCATAGCCGACACGCCGTGCATGCCAGCGTGTGTTCACTTGTGCTCCTGCGCGTGCTGATGCATGCGTGCGCCTGGGAGCTCGCATATGTTGCGTAACTAGCACGGAATCAAGCACGCCGCCTCTGCGTGTCGCCGTCTTGGGGCATGCCAGTGCTGCGGGGGGGGGCTCCTCGGGGCGATCCGAGGAAGGGATCGGGCACAATCACTGCTGAGGCCTGGGGCCACTTCTCGAGGCCTCTCGGGGGCTCCCGAGGGGCCGCTCCTGGGGCCGCCCGCGGGGGAGCCTGAGGCGCCAGTGGGGGTGGCGAGTCCTGGCTACGACCATGCTGTCCCCTGCCCCCTGCCCCCCCTAAGGAGGAGGAGGAGGAGGAGGAGGAGGAGGAGGAGGAGGAGGAGGAGGAGGAGGAGGCTCGGAGGCTCTCCCAGTGGGGCTGCAGGCCCCAGGGTCCGGCCCGGCCCTGACCCATGCCCCCACGTGTCCACAGCAGCATTGGTACTGCCGGGGGCTTTTCACAGGGGGCGCTCTCTTGGGGGTGGCCCTGGCGGGCGTTGCTTGCAGGTCCGTAGTGAAGAAGCCACCCCCGCACGCCTCGTCTGGGCGGGGCTGCAAGTCGCAATTCCAGGGCAGGCCCACAGCTTGCCCTGACAAGTGTGCGTACATGTGACAGCGATGCCAGCGCGTGTGCCCCAACCAGTTCATGTGTGCATCCGATTTGGAACTCCCTCTGTGTGCAACCACATGCGCGTGCGTGGACTCTCAGCAAACCAAACCACACGAGACCGAGCAGTCACTGAGAAGTGCGGCGCGCATGGCCAGCGTGGCGGGGAGCCAGAAGAGTCCAAACGGGCCATCGAAATATGCGGCACACGGGGCCAGTGAGGCGGGGAGCCATAGGGAGCCCATGCAGGAAGCCGAACCGTAGGAGCCTGACCAGCTACAGGAAAATACGGCGCCCAGGGCCAGCTCTTCAGGACCCCAATCAGAAGCCCTACGGTCGGGAACTTGTGCATACATTGGCGCTACGAAGAATTTGACCAGTTTCATATTTCCACCAAGACACGTCTTAGGAGGGAGCGCCATTGCGAGATCGAGCTGAAGAAGAGCCGACCCCTGTCATCGAGGAAGTCCTGGGCGGGAGCGCCATCTATAGAAATCGAACCCGAAGGCTCCGAATTCTGTTTCGGGCGAAGTCTTGGGCGGGAGCGCCATTTCGAAATCGAACCATACAGGTTTCGAATTCCAAGTTGTAGTGGAGGGGCGGGAGCGCCATTTCGAACCCGAGAGTTTCGAAATCGTTCGAACATGTTGTTTGAGCAAGTCTCAAGCGAAACCGTTTGGCATTTCAAATTTTCGTTGTTTTAAGTTATGTCTGTTTGACCACATCGTTTGGCATTTCATTTTTTTGAGTTCTGTCCAGAGATTTCGAAAGTTTGGATTTCGCTCAAAGCTTCGTCCAAAAAACACATTCGAACGATTTCGAAACTTTCGGGTTCGATTTCGAAATGGCGCTCCCGCCCAAGGCTTCCTTCAAACAACGATCTCGACCGGATTTCGAAACCGTCGGGTTCGAACTCGAAAGGGCGGCTCCGCCCGAGACCTGAGCAAACCAATGCTTGAACAGAACAGTGTACTGGGGCCCCGCGGCCTAACGGGGCCTTCTGACGTCTCCACTCTTGCCGCGGGCGCAGCGCCACTGACAGCTTTGCACCGGGGCCCCCTCGCCTTACGGGAGGCGCTGCATCGTGGCCGAACTCTTCGCAGCGGCGAAGCAGCGCGTCGCGGCGGCGGCCCTGGCGACACACGATGTCTCGCGAGCGGACGTTTGGTGTCCGTTCCATGGGAGCCTGCGTGGCCCCCTTCACTGGACCAGACTTGGACTGGACTCGTGGGGGCTAGGAGAACGAGGAGGGGGAGGGGGAACAGGAGGGGAGAGGAGGAGCAGGAGGATGGGCCAAATGTGGCCCCCACGCTGTCCACATGCAGGAAAAGCTGATTTCCATGTCGCCGCCCAAGGCTCCCATGAACAGACATCGAACGGACGGCGTGTCGCTCCTCTGCGCGGGGGCGGGAGGATCGGGGAAAGCTCGGGGCACTGAGGCCTCGTGACCGGGGAGCGCACGACC